GTTTCCATCTGTCATGTGTCCATTGTCCTTGACCACACTTTCATAGTTCAGCATGTACTTGAAAAAAAATTAGTTTTTTAGTGATGTGAATTTCTCACTTATTATGAGTAATAGAATAACTATATTTGGTATAAGGGTTCCTTGCAACATCTACATGTCTGTCAGACAGAGGTCACCTGACCTCGACCTCATTTCATTGATCGGTGATCAAGGTTAAAGTTACATGATTAGGTCCGTTTCTTAAATACTATAAGCAGAAGGTCAACCAACTACTGTAAATTCAGAAATTATTATGTGCATTTATTATTGCGATTTTTAAAAAATGGACAAAAATGCCAGATTACCGTAATTATTGCGATTTCAAGAAAATCTGTAAAGAAATATATTACCGATTACAAATGTGTTGAGTTTTGTGATTGGATAACAACACAGAAATGTCAGTATATATTCAGGAAACTGCAGGGGTATATAAGACGTTTTTTACCCCAATTGGAAACTCAACAACGTCATCATAACGAAAGTTACTATGTGACATAGTCTTAGGCTATTCAGATCACATAAAGAACGTCAAAGGCTCACGAGGGAAAATATTGATGTGTATCCGTCAATAATGCGTTTTCAATTTAAAACCACGCGATTTACACATCAAATACTTAATTAATGTTCTAAAGTGTTGTTACAAATTATTGCATACACGATAGATTTATTTTCACATCAAATTACAAATCCTTCACGTATGCAGAAAATATATATATTGCATGGCGATTGTTTAACAAATAACTGGTACTGGGAAAACATTAAGGCAAGGGTAATCCGTAATATATGTGTAATTCAGGTTTCAGACAGGGTATATAATGTGACATTCCCGGCTTAGAGTTAATATCCCCTTCAACTTCAGCTCAGGGAATATAAACTCTAACCTGGGAATGTCATATTATATACCCTGTCTGAGGCCTGAATAACATATAATGTATCAGATATCATAATGCGATTTTTTTATTGCGATTCTCACCCAGTCGCATTATTCACAATAATGAAAACCTTGCAATAATTTCTATTATATGTGGTGTATGGAATGTGTAAGGTGTACATGTCTGTCTGGAAGGTATAATCTGACCATGACCTCAATTTCATGGTTCATAGGTCAATGTTAAGTTTTTGTGTTTTTGTGTTTAAGTCTGTTTTTCAAGTACTTTAAGCAATAGGTACACTATATTTGGTGTATGGAATGATTGTAAGGTGTACATATTTGTCTGGCAGGTATCATCTTACCGTGACCTCATCATTGTTCATTGGTCAATGTTAAGTTTTTGTGTTTTGGTCTGATTTTCAAATACTATAAGCAGTAGGTCAAGTATGTTTGGTGTATGGAATGTGTAAGGTGTAAGTGTCTGTCTGGTAGGTATAATCTGACCTTGACCTCAGTTTCATGGTTCATAGGTTAATGTTTAGTTTTTGTGTTTTGGTCTGTTTTTCAATTACCATAAGCAATAAGTCAACTTTATTTGTATATTGAATAATTGTTAGGTACATACATGTCTGTCTGACATGATTTGTCTTACTTTGACCTCATTGCCATGGATATTTAAAAATGTTAAGTTCATGTGATATTTGTAGTTAAACCTTTATCTTTAAGACTTTCAACATAAAATCAATGGTCAGTAAAGCAGGCGGGACATTTCAGCGTGTGCACTCATGTTAAAACTGGTGAGTCTGAGCACACATGTCACTTTGAAGCATAAGTTTAAAAATAATCTTAATTTGATGTAATATCCCTGCTGTATTTTGTTTTGGAGACTTAAATAATATATCATGAAGTAGTAAAATTTCTTCTTTGCACTGTTGGAATTAAAATTGCCAAAAATGACGATTGAATGAACTCGACCTTGAATTCGAAAGTGAGAACCCTGTAAATACATGTAGTATCATTCATTTAAATAAGAAAAAATATTATATGACCAAATTAAACTTATCAATTAAAAAAATTATACAGTAAAGAATTGTAAGCAAAATACCCAACCAGTTGTTACATGGCCATTGCATTTACTGTATGACCTGTCATTCACCTTTTTGTCCCCTGCGCAACGTGTTGCGGGGGACATAGAAACACCAGGCATCTTGTACAGTTCTTGCCATATTTTTATGAAACTTATATCATTGGTTTATATATATTGTCTTGGACAAGTTGGAAAATCAGTGCCGATCATTTATTTTCAAAAGAGTTGTGCCCTTGGAAACATTTATTATATGGAAACTTGCATTGTTAGTGCTCTCATGTGTACAATTCTTGCCAGAATTTTATGAAACTTATATCATAGGTTTTTATTAGCAATGTCTTTGACGAGTTTGAAAATCAGTGCAGATCAATTATTTTTAAAAGAGTTATGCCCCATGGAAATATTCATTATATGTAAAATTGGATTGTTAGCGCTCTCATGTGTACAATTCTTGCCAGATTTTTATGAAATTTATATTATAGGTTTATATCATCAATGCATTGCATTTCCTCTGAAGCCTTCATTTCGTTAAGATATTTATAAAAAGTTTTAAAGAAGAAAACAAAATTGTTGTTTTTAGTTATTGCCCTTGTACCTTGGATAGATAAAATATTAGCAACTCAGGGGTCATTGGAACTCTCTGTTCTTTTATTAATATTTTTTTCATATTTGACCTATTTTGTGTCAGCAAAAATTCAGAAATTAAGTGTTAATTTTTTTACAGTACACTAAATAAATATTTGAAGTGCAAAATATTTTCGAAGATTTTTAAAACTCAAGTGGACTATTCAATTCTTTGTGTCTCTAATTTTTTTTTTTTAAGTTGTTTTTTGTGCTTTGTATCCATCTGATGAGACAAGCCTTTTTCAACTGATTTTCATAGTTTTTTTCAACTGATTTTCATAGTTTGTTCTCATGTTGTGCTGTTACACCAAGGGGAGGGGTTAGGGGAGGGTAGAGTGCTCACTAGCATGTTTAATCCTGCCACATTCTGTCTGTGCCTATCCCTAGTCAGCCTGTAATTCAGTGGTTGTCTTTGGTCGGTGTCTACCATATTGGTTTTTTGTTTGTTTTGTATATAAATCAGGGTGTTGTTTTTTTTTTTTCATTTTGTCATTAGGCCATTTAGAGCTTACTTTACAGTATGGGTATTGCTCATTGTTGAAGGCCGTAAAGTGACCCATAATTGCTTTCATCTCTGGTGGATATTTGTCTCATTGGCAATCATATGCTATATATTTAATGCTTTGGGATACCATACAGCATATTTTGTTAATAGTGAACAAAAAGGTAAAATATGCTACACATATTTGTTTCTTATTGACAACATATTTGTTGAATTTGGAGGTAGACTTTTTCATCAAATTGTCAGCACTCCTATGGGAACAAACTGTGTGCCTCTCCTTGCCGACCTCTTCTTATTTTTATATGAGTCGGAGTTCCTTCAGACACTTGTCAAAAACCTGATGATCAAAGAAGCCAGATCATTTAATTTCATAATTCAAATATATCGAAGATGTTCTTTCCATTTACAATATAAACTTTTCTGATTGGGTTTCATTAATATATCCTCGAGAACTAGAAATTAAAGAAACAACAGACAATTTGAAAATTGTAAATTTCCCCCACCTTAGCAGCAATATACCAGCATCACCTGCATATGGGATATTCATTTCCTAACTCATTTGGTATTCAAGAGCTTGCAGCTGCTACTCAGACTTTATAAAATGTCACCAGTGTCAGATCAGAAAGTTGATGAACCAGGGTTATGTCAAAGAATGTCTCGTCCTTTTTCTACATAAATGGAGAATGTGTCCATCAGACACAGATGATGCCCCTGTTTGCATATTATGTTAAAAAGGAGCATAACTCAGGAACAGTAAAAGTGACACTACCCAAATTCGAACTTGATCTGTGTTTTGTGGTAATAAGCATATGTGTATAAGTTTCATAACATTTGGTTGAGTCTAACGAAAGTTACAGAACGGAAACCATTTTCGGAAAGTATGTACGTATGGAAGGATGGACAAGGGTAACACTTAATGCCCCCTTCAATGACGGCTGGCATAATATGTTCATCAGAAGATACCAAGACCTTGTTGATAAATATTCTGTATCAACTTAACAAATAATAAATGATGGTCTTGAAGTATAGATTCTAGGTACTGACATTGTTTATCATCTTAATTAAGTGTTATTGTGTTCTTTTTATTTGTCTTTGTATATTTTTAACCTTTACTGTTAAGTCCTTTTTTGGTAATATCCCTTTGGTGTGGCTCGGTATTTATACAACCGGCCATTGTGTTATTGTTACATGGTCATTTTTGTATTCTTGTCTATCATGTTGCTTATGTGCTTTGTCTATAGAGTGTCTATATGCCATTTAGTTTTTCTTTGTTGAAATTGATATGTTTTTATAGTGACAATGTTGACTGCTGTACCCCAATTTTTGACATTTTTACCTATTGTGTCTGTATGTTTCACTCACACATTGTTGTCAATATAATGGAATTCTATGCGACTGTCATATAAGTGAGAGGTTTAGCTAGCTATAAAACCAGGCTTAATCCACCATTTTCTACATAAGGAAATGCCTGTACCAAGTCAGGAATATGACAGTTGTTTTCAGTTTGTTTGATGTGTTTGTGCTTTTGATTTTGCCATTGATAAGAGACTTTCCGTTTTGAATTTTCCTTGGAGTTCAGCATTTTTGTTATTTAACTTTATACCACATCTTATTTTTATATAAACTTTAATATTTAACATGTTTTGAATGAGCTGAATAGAAACGGAGGTGGGTGGGGTCAATAAGACAGCAACCAAACAACATGAATAAGTAAATGATATAAGAGCATGCATATAATATTTATACTTTGATATACAGCAATGTATATAAAGAGTGTTCAGTGATTAGAAATAAAATGTTCCCATATCTCTGTGAATGGTCCTATTGCAATGTAAAGTTAATTACAACTAAAACTAGCACTGACAACAAAATTATAAATGGCAAATCTTTTATTAAATAAAACCTTGCTGCCAATGACAAATTCGCAAAATGTAACAATCTTCCAGCTCTTAATGGAATGTTATAAGAATAATAGTACTTAACAATATTTGCATTAAACATTTATGTAATATAAATTACTAGACTTTCAAAATATAGACGTTGCAATCACATAAAAACTTCAAAATGGGACTTACAGGTGACATATTATGAGATCCATATTAAGAAATTTTATTTTCATTTACTGATTTAATTTGAGATTTTCTTGATGTGAACAATAATGTTTTTATTTTTAAAGCTAATTGTCATAAGGGACAAAGATTCTAATTTTGTTAATAACTCTTTTGTCATACTGATATTGTCTGATCAAATTTTTTCAACTTCATATAACTTTCATGCTACCCGGATCTTCAAACTTTATCGCATATGTAAATACATATAGGCTTATAAGGAGTTGGATATAATATCATATACTTTCTGAATGACTTTTATATACTGTAACATAAGTATTTGAACTCGTGATAGATATATCTGCAATTCAATTATGTTACAAAGGGCAGCAACTCCAGAAGAAAAAGCTGAATAAATTTGATAAAAATGACAAAAGAAACTGGTAAAGATTAATCAACTATGTCAATATTTTTACACCTAAATACTTTTTAAAAATTCACAAATATCTCAAACTCTAATTTTATGATTTGATAGTTTTCACTCGTTCTGATTTTAACCAAGGGAAACCTATTTGATGATTGGACAGATACATGTAACAAATACAATATATACCAGATATATGAAGACATTAATGTAAATAAAAATGAACAATAAAAAAATAACAAGGCATAAAGCACCATTTACCTTTTAAGTTTAAAACATCAAAATACATACAAAATTCTATTAATAAACAGAAAAATTAACAAAGTACAATCAAAGAAAATAGAGCACAATTTGGTCCCAATTTGAACTTCGTATCTTATATGAATATGAATATGTAAGTTTAACAAAAATAAGTTTTCCCTTTTGTAATTCTGCTATTCTATAAATAATATTGCATACATTAATTTTTCAGGCCATTTAATTTCAATCTTTATTTATTTTGATCACTATTCTCTTATCTATATATTTGAGCACCTCGCTGTTCACTTTTCTTATTTATTTTTTTGGCCAATTCTTTTCTATATGTTTGGCCCATCTTTCATTTTGGATCATGTTAAAAACACACAAATACAAAAAGTTCTCTTTATACAATAATTCAAGCAAATATATAGCAATTTTCCCTTCTTTTGAAAAAAGTAATCTGATTTGCATGATACACAGTACAGCATATCTAAGTTGTATTTGTTTCGAGTTTGGTCAAAAGTACAAAATGTTACCAAAATATACAACACTTTAAGGTTTTAAAAAAAATTTAAACAGCATATGAAATAAGAAAAAAAATTTCATGCCATGTAGAAGAGTATACACCACTTTAATACTTTTCCACTTTTATTTTATTGACTGTTACAACATTGAATGTTAATTAATTATAAGTAACAACAACAATCTAAAATTCATTAAAAGACACATGTTTTCAAAAATATGGCATATACAATACTATAAATGCTATCTTATAAATCTTATAAAACCCATTAATAATTACTAAGAAACTATCAGTTTATTTTACATTTGAATATTTAAAAATTTTAAGGTAATCACAGTGAGAGGTTGAACAAGAGTTATCTCCCATTTCTTACAGCAAATCAGTTTTAATTCCATCAAAGTTTTACATGGATTTATCCAAGCAAAATTTGCCTGTCAACAATTTTTCAAACAGAGAAATGCTGTAATATAATTCTTACTAAATGAACCATTTCAGTTGATTAATATAAACAAAAGAGAATATAGATTCTAACACTGCATCAAGTGTGATACAATATTTCTCCACTCGAGACAGTTAAGTTTTAAAATTTAAAAAGTGAGGCTTGTTGAGCTTTTTAAATATTTGAAATTTAACTGTTGAGAGTAGAGAAATATCATAATACACGAGATATAGTGGTGGAATCTGTTTCTCTAATGATTTTAAGACGATATCAAAACAAGTTTTATCCTTCCTCTTAAAAGATTTGCAGAAAATTGTGTTCTTTATATGTGACATCATCAGGCATGGTTGCCTTTTTTCATGACGTTACAATAGGAAATTTAGAAGAAATCAAGAAAATTTGATGTCATAATTGAAATTTCGACCAATCATTTGCAGAGAACAAAGTTTTCTCTAGAGATGAGAAATATTTTTCTTACACCGATCAAGACATGTGAAAATAGCATGAAAATTAGAGAAATATGACTCGTAAAAAGCTTTTAGTTAAGAAACTTGTAATATCTAATTTTTTAGCTTCTTTTTATTTATTAAGAAATTTAGGAGAAGTCATGCAGATTTAATGAAAAGAATTTAACAGTCACCAACAATATCAAAAAAATATCAATATAAAATTTTATAATCTATATATCACATGACATATTTACATATCGAATGACACATACATTTCACATGACGTATCTACATATCACATGACAAAACAGAGTATTCATATCTCTTGACATCAATAAAAGTTCTATTAGGATGACCATATGCCAATGCTTTTACATTTCCTGAGTGAAAATGAAAATTTACCTCATAAAAATGCCAGTGGTATATTGAGTCTCATACTACATACATCATATTAATAATTCATAATAATTCAAAATTCAAAATCACATGTTTTATACTGTTACTGATGTTTTTAGATACATTCTTTTGCAAACATATCAAAAAATATTTCAATCCATTCTAAAATATCCTACTTTGTATAAAATTATAATTGAACCATGTTCAGGGTATCCCATATCCCTAAGCCTTTCATAAAAAAAACCTTGAAAATAGAAAATAACAAAAAATAGTCCATATTCCTTTAACAAAAAGTCCAATTGTATCCAAAAAGTGGAAATATTTCTTATCTAGGAAACAAAGAATACATTTATCCCTTATACCATTTATTAAAAGAATGAAAGTCCATTATTCAAACCAAAGCTCATTACATATGTACTTCTAGATCTGAAGGTAGATTTCCAGCTGCTGACCAAACAAGCATGTATGAAACAATTCAAATTTCATTTCTTTCAATCAACAGTTATTGTATCAATAAAACAACAAAGTGAAATATATCTCAAATAATCTGTTTGTCTTTAAGGTTATAACTACATCAATAGGCAATCTCACAGATATTTAAGAAATTTTGCAAGAATCTAGAGCGTGTGGAACTGCAAATGAATATAGAAATACATTATATATCAATTAAACTTTTAAACTTTCCGAGATATAGCAAATTAAGTTTCCCAAAAAACAGAATAACAAACAAAAATAACGTAAAGTTAAGCAATTTTTACTTTAAATTATTATTCCTGAAAACACTGCGAAACTCTTTATCAATGAAATGTTATTGATATGAACTTTTTTTTGTCACCAAATTTATCTTTTTGAATATAGATAATTGTATCTTCTACATGAACAAAGCACAGACAAAGGCAATAGTATTTGTGACTGCATTGTGCATCATTATTTACATAATGATTTATAAAGTATGAACTAATTTAGTGACCTTTTTTATATCAATAAAATGGAAAATTAAGTGACAATAACATATGATGTTTGAAGAAAATTTGTAAGACCAAAATATATGAAAAGTCAAATTACTCATTTTTTACAATATTTATGTGCATTCTATACATTTTATACATTTGTACTTTTAAATGCAAGATCATCTCAGAAAGTATAAAAGTTACCTATACACAATCTATAGTTGCTTAGAAAACATCATACAATCTGTAAGGTGGCCCATCTATGTAGCTGTTAAATTTGGAATAAAAACTATTTCACAAGTTTTGAGAGGAAATAAATATTTGGTTCTATTTTAAATTAGGATAATTGCACACATACTGAAGGTAATAAATCATACAAAATTACAGAAACATTTCCATGTATGGCGGGGACAATTTTTCTCAGTACTAATGCAACTATCCTGTATTAATTATATTGCACTAACTATAATTAGGTCACACCAGCTTAATTCTAGTTCTTAAGATTCAATCTCTTTAAAAATTTCTCCTGTCTAAAATCTAATTTTCTATTTTTAAATTTTGTTCAATTCTTAACAAAAGTGCTTGCTGATTTAAAATTCCTTAAGTGATTGATAGAAAAAATGAAAAATATAGCATGTCTCCAACCTTTTAAAATCCAAAGAAGTGAAAACTAAAATGGTGTGACCTTATTTTTATTTTTTTCCCTGATCTATTTTTACTACAATTCATCATGAATAGTTTTCTGTTTAAATGCCCAAAACTCTGATGGCAATTTTATAACGTCTCTTTCTCTTTTAACAAAAGCTGTAAATGTTGAGAAACAATTTCCTATAAAGATGTCACCTCGAGCCATTAAAGCTAGATCTAGATGTGGATTGTCTTTCTTTGACTTCACAAACTTCACCTAAAAAAGGAGGAAAGAAATGTAAATTTTAATCAAATCTTGAACATCATACAAAAAAAAATGAAACAAGTGGTCATAATCATTTCATATCAATGTTTTTGATGGCCATTTATTCCATGTGAAATAAATCATTTAATATGGCAAACAAATATGTAATATGTTTTGGGGCAGTATTTGCTCCTACACATATTCTATTCATTTGTTTAACAGGAGAAGGAAATCCAATCATAAGGTTAGTTTATACAGAATATTTTACTTATAAAAAAAGTACTTAAACATCTTTCTCTGTAAAAGGTATGTCAGAAGGCCATTTACTTGACATATTAAAGTAAATCCTTTTAAATTTGTTTAATTGTATAATTTCTTGCCCTTTGGTGCATAGTTAAATTATCATACCACCAAAGACCAAAGGATGGTAATAACTACAGGTCACTGTACTACCTTCAACAATCTGCCAAATCCATTCCATATAGTAAGCTTTGTAAGACCACAGGATGATCAAATAATGTAAGCAATTCAAAAGAGAAAACCCAAAAGCCTGATTTAAATGAAAAACAAATATAGCATACAGCAACCAATAACCACTAAATTACAGGCTCCTTGCTGACTTTGATGGTCGGTGGATATCTTTGGGCACCCTAGCTTCCTCCACCAATAAAAACTACCCAAATGAAATAATCAATAATGCTGAAAGTGGTGTTAAACACCAACAATCAATCAATCAATCCTAACTTACTCAACAAATCCTTAAACTTTGTCTTACTGTGGATTCATTATTATTCCTGGTACCAATTTACGTGGATTTCTTAGGTGTCCAGGAACCACAAATTTAAATGTTAAGAAGTACTAATTTTATATCAATCCACAAAAATATTTGAATCTACATTAAATGAAGATGTAAACACTATGACATGTAAACTATCATCAGACTTACATCTTTGATGACTTTAGACATTTTATCTATTAAGTCTCTACTATCTGTTCCAATAAAGACAGATTTAGCTCCCACTTTTTTGACAGCTTTCTTTACTTGTTTAACAATTGCATCATCTGAGGGATAACACATCTCTTTATCTGGTTTTCCATGTTCTTGTCTGTACCCAAAACACTGGGGAGCTGCAAACATCATTGGTGAGCTCGATAAATGGTCACAAGCATTTTGCTGAAAAATATATTTCATTATTTTTTAGAATACAGTCATAAAACTACATATTTTTAAAAGTAGACTTTCTTCATTTTCAAAATTTATTTGAGTTATTTTGTTGTTAAAAAAAAGTTATTTAGTTTTGATAATGATATCAATATTTCATTCTAATGCAATACTTTTTGTAATGTTCTTTTTGATTGGATAATGCAATAAATTTCAGGATATCAATCCCACAATTTCCTGGTTCAAATATGTGCAAGACGGCACAGACATCATGTATATGATTTTGATATCGATTATTTAACTGTTCCATTTGAATTGATATAACAGTAACGAAAGGTAAGATTTGGGGCATTCATTTTTTTAATTCAAGGTGACAATATCTGTTTACTGGCTCTGCTGACTTGTCCTCAAGAAACTCAATTTGTGACTTTCAAATTTCCAATTGATACCAGCAAATTTTTCAAATGCAATATTGTTATATGATAATGCTATAACATTCTTTTTCTGTTTTGAGTAATTATATATTAAATCTAAATCTATCTATCTACTCATGGGAAATTCTACAAGATAATCTTATTCTTATCTCTCTACAAAAAAACTTTTATTTATATGTGTCTTTTCTCCACAAGATGTGACATTTGTATCTTAAATGTTTTGTTAGAAAATACATGATATATGATATAAACTAAACTATATCTATTCCACATCTCCTTTATTCATATGATACAGTCCTCTTTGACTTTATATGGAAACTTCAATCATCTTCACATCTTAAATAAAAGTTTGTGTCACTTACAATATTTAAATATATAATTAGTTAACTTACAAAATCTGAGCCAAGTCTTAAATGTATAGAGACAAATGGTCCATCAGGCAGATTCTTTTTTATAAATCTTTCTGCTTTTTTGTCAATACCATCAGACCACTGTAGGTGTTTATGAAGACGAACATTGCTCTCAGAAACAGGGAATGCACCTGGGGCACCAGTAAATGCTAGGACTGGGTACTTGTCTGCTGGGTACCTAAAAAAAGAATTTTAACTAATGAAGAAAACTGTAATTTTTGTCTAAAAATCCAAACCACAATTATCAGGATCTGCTTACCCTTCCAGAGCACCTGAGATCACTCTTGGTTTTTGGTGGGGTTTGTGTTGCTCAGTCTTCGGTTTTCCATGTTGTGTTTTGTATACTGTTGTTTGTCTTTTAGTCCTTTTTTATGCCATGGCATTTTCAGTTTATTTTAGTTTGATTGTCCCTTTGGTATCTTTTGCCTCTCTTTTTCTATTGCATAAAATTAAATGCAAGAAATTAAAGGACAAATAACTTTAAAATGTATACTCTGTGATGAATAACCCTATTATTCACTGTTGAATAATGTTTTGAGCTATTTGATTTGTACATGAGTTATCTCCCATTAAAAGGATGTCACAGACATACGTAAACAAAATGGTAATGGCCAGGTTAGAAGCCCATCAAGTGATGAGTAAACAAGATAAAACAAGAATGTGTCCATAGCACACGGATTCCCCCACTCGCACTATCATTTTCTATGTTCAGTGGACAGTGAAATTGGGGTCAAAACTCTAATTTGGCATTAAAATTAGAAAGATCATATCATAGGGAACATGTGTACTAAGTTTCAAGTTGATTGGACTTCAACTTCATCAAAAACTACCTTGACAAAAAACTTAAACCTGAAGAACTTTAACCTGAAAAACTTTAACCTGAAGTGGGAAAGAAGGATGGACGAACGAATGGACACACAGACCGAAAAACATAATGCCCATAAATGGGGCATAAAAAGGCTTGAAAATTCATCTAGTGATGAGGATATCTTTTGTAAACAGCCCTTTTCAACCTGTGTTGAACATACAAGAAATTCTTAGACACAAAATAATTTTCTAAGATAAGTGTTTTGACAATCTGTTACTACAGTAAGGCAAGTGATATTTCAATGGTTCAAAAAGCCCTTCTACTGTTAGTTTGGTATAATAAAACAATTGTGGTTCCTTAAATTGTCAACTTTAAAAAGTTATTTCACTTCGTACTGCGCTCTCAGGAAAATAACCTTTTCCGTTGACAATTTTGAATATTCATCTTTTCTATGGGCCATAGTTGTATAATATCTTAAATAAAAATTTGTTTATATTATCATAACCTTGAATTATTGGTAAGATTTAATAGTACAAAAAAATCAGTCACACAGGAAATTAAATCAAACTTGTCTAGAGTTATGATACTAATACAAGTCAGATTTGTCTTGTAGTGTTAATCAATCAGCTGTTATATAAAGAAAATATGTTAATTATTTATCCATTAATGTGTTGTTTTTTTTTTGTTTTTTAGAACTTTCTTGTTTTATATAACCCTAGCCAATAAACAATAAACAATTATCCGACCATCTACAATATACATATCAAATCACATTCCTAGGGGAACATTTGCTCTAGGCCAAAAAAAATTAATACATGTGTTTCCGCTAACGTGCTGAAAAAAAATAGGGTAGGTAGGTAGGCAATATCATTTTATTTTACATACATTTTTTAGCTGGTTACTACTAGGGAATCAGTCTGACTTTAACAGTGCTTGTTCCAAAATGGCATAAAAAGTGTTAGGGTAGGCACTAAAAATTAGGGTAGGTAGGGTTAGCGGAAACACATGTATTTTTTTTTTGGCCCTATTGTATTTGGTAGGTATTTCTGAATACTATATGGTTCCACATATATGTTTTTAATATTTTGGAAATTTTTTTAATGTTGAACTATGCAATCTGAAAATCCTTGATTCATCAACTCACTGGTTCTTTTTTTCAAAAGATATCTGCCCTTTTTTGAAGGATTTTAGTATATCTGTCCCTTTTTTTGAAAGATTTTAGTGTAGTCTTTTGATATTGTATTTGGAGGTATCCCTTTTTATCTGCAAAAATACATAAATTTAAATCGAAAACTTATTATATTTGAAAATTCAATTATTAATATCATAAACAAAAATTTGTTTATGTTGTCATAACCTTGAACTATTGGGCAGATTCAATAGTACAGAAATATCAGTAACAGAGGAAGTTACATTAAACTTGTTAACAGTTTTAATATCAATACAATTCAAATTTATCTTGTAGTGTTAATCAAACAGCTTTATATAAACAAAAGTTGTTAATCATTTCTCCAGTATTGTTTTCTTTCAGACTACACCTTTTTTTTCTGGGATTGTACTTTCTAGTTCATTAGCAGATTCATAAATCATAAGAATACATGATTTTCAATATATTTAGCAAGCAAGGACGTATTTTAAGAACTGGTTAACATAATATCCACACCATAATTTTGTTTTACATATCTTGTCAAATAAATAAGTTTAACAAAAGATCAATAACAGTTTATTACAACTATAAGTAAGAACTGACATTCCAATGTGTTCAGTATTAACACCTCATAATAGATTTGATGAGGACTTTATTTTTTCAAAACATATTGTGTAGAAATTTTCCTCATTACTACTTTCCATACCTAAACTTAATTAAGTAAATATTATTGATGTATAAGTCATGGCCTCTCTGGACGTCTCTATTAAATTCAGAAATAAGACTAAAATTAATATTACTAGTAAGTGAAATATACCTTTTCAGCCATCTCTGAATTTCATGAGGATTGTATGAATCATAAGTAAGAGGTCCATAAAACACATTTTTATCAAATTCCACTTCAAACGTATCCCAGAATGGGCCAAATGGGTTTCCATCCTTTGCTGCACAGCTTGGCTCATCTGATGTTTTTTTATCAACATAATGGGTTCTAGCAGAATAACAAAACACTGAAATGACATACAAAATTTAAATTAGTTTTTAAGTTCATTCCAAATGAAAGTTTTAGCCTTTTTTTGCCTATCTTTAAAATTATCCCAAATTCTTAATAAGGATTCTGGAAGACATGCCAAAGTTTTGATATTGAATGTTTAACTTTACACACAGCAGAGTTTTCAAAAACATGTTTGATTTTTGTTTGAATTGTTTCATCTTTTGTTATGTTGCAGCCTTTAATATATGACTCACTATATGGCATGGGTTTAATCATCTGACAATATTCATTTCTACTTTCTGTTTTTTAGACATTTCAGAGTCCTCTGATTTTGTCATTATAATGTACAGCTTAAAAAAATTCATTGCCTTATGTAATAATTACTAGAACAGAAAGTAGAAGGGGGATCACAGCCAGATCCTTGTAAGAAAAGTGTGGACACAGAATCTGTATTTTAATTAGATTGGAATATTCCTGATAAGATTATTCCAGAGAATTGTTGGAAACAAGAAAATCATATCACCTTTCTTTTCCAGACAAACATAACGTCAATGGCTACTGATGTCATTACAAACTACTTTCCTTTGTGACAAATAATTAACTTGGTTAGGTGGTAATGGAATTTATATATATAATTAGTATACCTGAAAATGTGACCAACTGAAGTTAACTCAATATCGTCATCTACCCACATAAACATTTTGATACCTCATCTGAGATTTTTTATCGCAAAACAGATGGTAATCAAATCTTGTCATGCTGAGGTAAGCGAATAACATGCAAATGATTTACACCTTTTTCTGTATACACAATTCATCACAGAGTGCCACGTGAGGATGAGGAGGCTGATAACAAAATACCATATCAGATTGTTATTTCAAAGTACATAAAGAAAAGTTCTGTTTTTTAAGAATTTTTCTTTTTAAATAGAGATAAGGGGTATGCTTTCTATCAGTTAGTGCCTAGTTTTTACAAATACTATAATGGACATTTTACAGAGGTGTACATCTGAATTGTAATTAACCATACTTCTTTTTATATATTTGTCATGTTTTTTTAAATACATGTACAACTATAAAAGAGAAAAACTGTAAGCAGAACTCACAAATTCATGCTAGCCACTCCCCAAAACTGAACATCCAGTTCTGGCTTAAACAGTAGTAACAGATCCAATATGCCTATCACCATTTCTCATGTAACAGTAAGCAAATACAGTGAAGTCCATGTAACGCTTTGGAAAACCCCAAAAATTGAATCGATTTATAATTTAGTTATCATTTTGGAAACATTTCTGAAATACCTGATCCCAGATGTGAGAGAAAAAAGTACACCTACCCCTGCATAAATGTTCTTCATCTTCAACTCTTAAAATCGCAGATTTTGTTCAAACATCCTCATAATTCCATAGAATAAAACAATAAATTGTCTTAAATGACATATGAAACCATAAAAAACAGCTTATCTATGATAGTATGTATCATCATGGCAGACAAACAAAACCCCAGCCATTAGAAGGGTTAATACAACAGGTTTTACCAAATGAAGTGAATTTACTCAAAAGTTATTTCAAATTAGAACACCAAAACTAAAGTTGGATAAAATTTTAATATTTAATCTAGAGGATAGTGATGGGAGCCATCACAATGCCCCTGCAGTAGGTAAATAAGTAAATTGGGATGTGATTAGAGTTATTTCATTTATATGCACAGGGGTGTTAAAGTGCAATTAACCTTTTAACCATGACCATCAACTTCCTGTTTTCTTCCAGTAGTGAACAATCATTGCAACTTTGATCCTTGAACTCCATGGATTTTTAAACTTAGAACAGAAGTATTTATTTTTGTACATATGAAAAAGGGTGGCTAAGTTGTATAAAGATTGTGACCATGATTTTCAGTGTACAGTTTTCTTTATCATACATGACACAGCTTTCAGTTTAATCTCTGAACCCAAAGGAGTTTAAATATAGAGATTGGAAATGATTTGTGACAATAAGACATGAACCTTTAATAATGCCAAAAAAGGTTGACCACAAGTCATCCACAATAACAACCTTTTGTGGAGAAAGGTTAATCATTGAAGTTTGCAAAATGTTGATAAAATCTTTAATTTATTTCGCCTCTTTCTGACACCATTTAGAATTTGTCACAGTTTGTCGTGCTGTTTACATTGTACATCTACAATAATGTCAGCAATGCATGTGGAAACATTTAAAGGCTGATGTTCCCTTATTACAATTTTGTTTTCAGCACTACAGCTATTGTGATGTATACAATACACCCGAGTTCCCATATAGACAGATGTTTAGAGGATGGATGTGTTTTGTTTTTATCCTACTTATATTATAATGTCAATGTATGCGCAGGTAAAAGTCCTTTGGCGAACAACAGTTTACAATTTTAACCTTTTGGTAATAACTATGATAATTAGAAGGGGTAGGGTGTTTCGGTACATTTTTTAATCTTTTGATGTTCTCCCTTAACCAAGTAGGGTATTAACAATTGATTAATATAGATATCCCAGAGACAGAAAATATTGAAGTTGTTCTAAACAAAAATATCGTAAACCAACTTTTAATTGTTAGCAATTTATTTTCACAATTTCGAAAAAAACAATAACATGAAAATGAATGGTCAATTCTTTCTATTTTCAACCCTTAATAATCTATCCAGGCCCAGGAGGGGACCTACCTAGTCTTTCCCCAAGATGTAGGAAGGGAACTTACCTATTCTTTCTCCTGGAGGCCAGACTGTTGGTGCTAAGTGTTCCATAAATAATTCCATCGTCATCACCTTATGGAACTCTGCCAGAGGATGAACTTTAAAGTATTTGTCAAATGGCACTTGGACCTTCAATGGAATTATGAACAGACTATAACAATCAGTTGATGTTGACAACAAATATTTTTAATAAACATGTTTTGTAAGAGGTGTGAACAAAATTTGGGGTCATTCATCAAGTTTCAATATCATTTCATTCATATAAAGACAGCTAATTAAAAATACAAGGTATAGACGAAGAAATCAATACATGCAATAATACTTTCAGCAATGAATTATTTACTAAATCTGAGGGACATCAAAATAATTTCATTGTGAAATAAACATGTGATAGAAAGGCAATTCTTTTTTTACACCTACCATCTAATAAAGTTTAGTAAGAATTATGAAATTTAGTGGATAGTTGTCTCATGGCAATCATATCACATCTCATTATTTTTATACTTTATTGTATTATTATATCTATCAAAATTTATTTTAACATTTGTATACCACTTTATCAGGTTAATTTTTTATGCCTTTCAACTACAACTTTTTTTAACATTTTTTTCTATAATTGTCCAGGTTTCTCACTAAGGCACGTCCATGCAAATCTGCCTGGACTCATCATTTTCAAAACTGATGAGTCCAAAGATGCATCAAGTTGTATAACATTGTATCCATTGAGCCAAGTTATAATCATTTTATAGCAAAAGTTTGAAAATTAATCTATAGTTGATGACATTCCTTTCTCTGTTTTGTAATGGAGACTTCTCACTTATAGACTCACCAGGGCATAAATAGTGAGTTCCTAGAATCACCTACCAAAATCCTTAGTGAGAACCCTGATTGCTCTCAGTTATAAAAACTTCATCTAGATGAGACCAAGAAAAAAATGTCTTAAGAAGATATAATGTGTGTTCCTTGTATTCTTCAAATAATAGAAGAAAAAAGGCTAAGTCAATTTTTGGTTATGGTAAACCCCAAAAATCATTTAGCTAAAAATTCAAAATGGCAGGTGTTCAACTTCATGTCCTGTAGAAGTATCTGTGCAAGTTAAGTTGAATTTCTGTTTTTAAGGAGTTGCAGATTAACATAATAGATTATAGAGTCACACAGATGACAATGTGACGACGATGTAAGACAAAAGAAGTAAAGAAAATGAACCATCATATATTTGAAACTACTGAACATGTGAAATCTAAGAATCAATCTGAAGTCTTATTAAATTCATGTCCATTGTAGAAAATCATTTTGTTAACTAACTACCCATTGTGAATATAAAGTAGCATAAAACAAGGAAAAAGGCCAAAGACAAAGTTTTGTTGTTTACTTCATATCACACAATTATTAGCTGAAGCTGTAACAGAAAAAACAATTTGTTTTTTTTAGCCAATTCAGCAGCATAGAAACAGACTGGTTCCATTTTTTATGATTGGCATCAATAAAATTTAAGCTGTCATGAAAAAAAAAGTGTCATCCAAGTAACAAAATACAATTTTTTGCTTAAATATTTTTTTTCTTTAGAGAATTCATGTGATTTTACAATTCATGTTGTAAAATTTTACTAGCTGATCCAAATATTCAATGTGTTATTGTATATTTACTAAACTCATGAGCGGCCAATAATACTCTACTGAAGGTACTATTATAATCGGATTATTAATTTACTATGAAGTCATTATTATTCTTGGTGTACTAATTTTTGTGGATTGAGGATAACTACAAATTTAAGTGTTCCACAAAATATAATTTTTCTACAGGTGTGAAAAACCACAAATTTGAGAATCCCACACTAGTACACCAAACTTGAACTGAACAGATCTTAATCAAAAGACTGGACAATAACTTATAAAGTAATGTTCAAGTCGTTTAAGTCCATTTTCAGACTTATCCAACTGTGAAAGTTTCAGAACAGTTCAGACAATTAGCTTGCAGTCAATTAAGATCTGTCAGATTAGTAGTTGTTCTTTATCTGTAAAAAAACAACAATATACCAAATTGTCTGAAAAGATACTGATCAGTAGTGGATTAACAGCAAGCCAATTGTCTGAACAGTATTGAATTTATAACAAGGAAATATCCGAAAGAAAAACTTAAACTCTTAACAAGACTTACTGTTTTTAGGTTCATGCTTTTCAGATTGTGTTAAGACCAAAATGGATGTTTAAGACTGAAATTCCTTTCACATTGCAGGAATATTAAAATAATAACCAAACAGTACAATTTAGTATCAAATCCACAGTGTATCCTAATACATACTCTAAACAGAACTGGTAAATGGTATTCTACTCAATATGGTTTGATTAATGTCCTGTAAACAAATACATACTGATTTAGGATTTGGCCAGTGGTATTCAACCCATGGTGGTAGTATTAATGTTCTGTCCAATGATTTGGCAAAAGCTAAGGCACCAAGAAACTGGTCTGCCTGATTTCCAAATCTTCCTACAAAATAAATGAAAACATTACCAAAATATCTGAATGTTTTTTTTTCAAAACAGTACACACAATATGTTTCAATCTAGGTAGGCAGTTATTCCAAACAACTTCCAAACCTTTAAAGTAAATGACAACAAGCATTCTAAGAGTATAGCATGGCAATGCATAGTCCCCTACCGTTAAAAATAAATTGTACTGGAACAAAATGCTATGTTTGATCAATAACTTGTCATGGTGTAAATTTGTAAACTATATAACAAATATCAAGTCAATATCTTCAAGCATGACGAAAAAAAGTGTGGAAAAATGATTATTTAAGTTAACTTTTTAAGTCCAAGGACCATAACTCTGCACAAAATCATCAGATCTAAACAAAATTAGAACTTGATCTGTAACATGTCATGATAAAACAATGTACCAATTACGAAAAATATATTCAAGCATGACAAAAAAAGTGCGAAAAACTGATTATTTGAGTGAATTTTCTAAGTCCAAGGACCATAACTCTGCACAAAATTATAAGACCGGAACAAAATTCGAACTTGATCTGAAACTTGTCATGATAAAACAATATACCAAATATTAAATCAATCTCTTCAAGCACGAAGAAAAAAACAGGAAAACTGATTTGCCGGACTGACGGATGGACAGACAGACGGATGCAAACCTAAAGTCCCCTTCAACTTCGTCGGTAGGGGACTAAAACACTTTATGTTCACACACTGTATAATGAATTGCTGTAAATCATCAGAAGCAGAATGGATTTTTTTTTTGCTTTGTTCTATTTCATTTTTCTAGGGGGTGGGGAGTGGGTATTTGAAAGTGTTATTTAATTCTTATGTTAATTTAATGCTTTCCTTAAAATGATTGTAAGATTTAATTTCATGCTTTAGAAATTAAAATCTTTAAATGTTGATTTGTGTCAGTACTAACATTGATTTTGTTTTTGTAAAAATTAAAACATAACTAAATATATATATATCATGTATATTGCTATATCAATAAACAGTTATGAGAATTCATGATCCTACATTCTGTTTTATATTGTGTCATTGCACAAGGTCATGCTTTTCTCAGACTGTTTATGAAATCTTTACACTAAATCCCTTGGACGTGTCCTGATTGATACCTTAGTCTGGGAGAATATGATTTATCTATTAGTTGTATAAATTGGCCTTGAACAAGCTTTTGTACTCTTACACGTATATTGGTGCTTTGTGTCTATTGTTTTTGTATGTCGTACAGATCTTTAGAGTTAAGTCAATTGCAACTGATTTTTTCAGTTTGTTCTTATGTTGTGTTGTTACACCAGTATTGACCACTGTCCAATGTTGAGTGCTCACAAACATGTACATGTATAACCTGCCATATTCTTTACGTGTCTGTCCCAAGTCAGAAGCCTGTATTTCAGTGGTTGTCATTGGTTCATGTCTGTCACATTTGTTTTTGGTAAATTGTTTCATTATAAATAAGGTCAACAGTTCTGTCGTTTGAATTGTTTCACATTTTTCATGTCTGGGCCTTTTATAGCTGACTATACAGTATGGGTTTTTCTCATTGTAGAAGACCATACAGTGACCTATAATTGCTTAAATAGACTTATTTGAACTCTGGTGGATAGTTGTCTCATTGGCAACCCTGCCACATCTTATTTTTATATGAGATACATGTTTACACTGTAATATCTTTCCAAGGCAATCTTAAACAACCTTCTTGACTTCACATGATTCATAGCATGACATATTGTATAGACACTAGTCTATCATTGAAGACCCTATGTTGACCTAGTGATGTTTTTTTGTGATTTTTAATATCATTGAGTCCAATACTTTCTTATTGACCGGTATCCCCAAATCTTCTTTCAGTTAGATCCTGACTAAAATTTCCCATCTATGAAGGGCATACCACATCTTAATTTTTATATGTTTTTTTTTTATTTTGATATGGTTTTATAAATTGTTTATTCATGAAAAAAGATAAGTATTGATTCAGCTTACAACTAACCCATACAGGGACAATACATGATATATCCTTTAGGATCTACAAGGGTTGATTTTACTGTATGTAATAGACACCAAACTAATATCAAATTCTTCATCTTGTAGTACTGGTATCTGAAAAAAAAAAAAAATCGCCTTCTATGAAGCAACTAGCAAATATTGATATTTATGGCACATCTGTTCATGTACTAAAATTACATAATCTCCAATTCTCCACCAGTTGGTTAAGGACGGAAATTATAAAATCACTGCAGCAAATTTGTTTTGTTTTAACACTTATGATAATAGATTCCTATCATGACACAAATATTTCCAATCAAAATCCCTTGTGCATGCATGTGACAAAAACATTTTACAGTTTGTTCTGATGTTGTGCTGTAACACCACTGTCCAAGGTTAAGGGAGGGTTGAGCGCTCACAAACATGTTTAACCCTACCACATTCTTTATGTGCCTGTCCCAAGTTAGGAGCCTGTAGTACAGTGGTTGTCGTTGGTTCAGGTCTGTCATACATGTATTTGTTTTTTGTAAATTGTTTTGTTATAAATTAGGCCATTAGTTTTCCTCATTTGAATTGTTTAACATTTTTCATGTCGGTCCTTTTAAAGCTGACTATACTGTACAGTTACCTATAATTGCTTACTACTACTTCATTTTAACTCTGTTGAAGGCTGTACTGCTTTATACCACTTCATTTTAACTCTATTGGACAGCTGTCTCATTGGCAATTATACCACTTCTCCTCATTTTTATATATATTCATTTATGAAGTTTCCTGAAGTCACAAACAACTTCTCTCACTTTAAGCTATAGATCCACTACTGATGCAATATTTCATTAAACAATAAAAATATTAAATTGTATGTATGTATTTTTGTTATAAAGAATAAAAGTATCGAGAAATGTTGTTTTTTTTTGGGGGGGGGGGTTTAATCTCTTTAAAAGAGGGGGTCTTGATTTTATTTTCCTTCCTCAAGGTGGGACATGAAAAAAATCAGAGAAATTCCACTGTCTCCTCCCACCCCCCCACCCAATGATAGAAAATGACCAGTTCCTAATCTGGAAAATTTTATTTAGGTACAGACTAAAAACTGTATTAAAATCTATTTATTTGTCATGATTCAGATAAATAGAGATTTTCTAAATATATGTTTCTCAGATTTGGAAACTTTGAAATAAATTTTGTAAGAATTCTAATCTTGGTGAGCTATATAGAGGGCACTCTAAAACAAAATGCATTTCATTTTCTATCAAGTTAAGTGAACAGTGTTGACAGAGCCTTTCACACCTACATGACCTAGACAGTTCAAGTTTTCCTGAGATTGTATTTAGTTTTCGTTCATGTCTCCCAGTTTCTATTCTGTTATACTCCGAGTTTGTTATGGGCAGAGAATCTCTCTTGTTGACCCATATTTCAAGAAATAGTAATTTATTTGGTTTATCAGTCTAAACAACAACTGTTTAAAACAGGACATTTACAAGCAGTGCTTGTGTTAAGTTCTTTATTTCCACTAACAAACTCATAGTCCGGGATTGCTCTGCCGTTGGATGTCAGAGCAATTTCGGACTTACAAACTCATTGACCAGTAAGCTTTCTTTATTTACTTAAAAAAAAATTTAAGCATGTAATTGATAGTAATCGATTACACACAAATCCTTCATGTAATCAATTACTAATGACAGTAATCTTAAAATTGAGAATGGAAATGGGGAATGTGTCAAATTTTCAGTCATAGAGAGAACCCGACCAAAGTCAAAGAGCAGAAAACAGCAGAGGGCCACCAATGGCTCTTCAACACAGCGAGAAAATCCCGCACCCAGAGGCGGGCTTCGGCTGGCCCCTTAACAAAAATGTGTAATAGTTCAATGAAAATGGACGTCACACTAAACTCCAACTGTCCAAAACATAAACAGGTTGGGAGCAACCCCCCAAAAGAGGGATATCCCTTAATTGAGGGACTGTCCCTCAGACAAGGGGTCATTTTACTGTTGTAGAAAAGAAAAATGAAAAACTTTAGATTTCTTAACTTAAAAGGGGAAAAATTCATTATATTTGGAACAACTTTTCTAAAAGAGGGGTCCCATTATTTTCAATAATGAAGAAGATACAAGTCTAGGAACATAACAAAATTCTTGGACATGTTTTGACCATATAATACCAGATAGAAGTATAGTTCTTTGGGAAAAGGTTCTTCAAATAATATAAATATGTGCTCATTTGTACTAAAAAGTGGTATTTACAAAAAACTATTTCTTATCACTTGAAATTTACCCCTCATAAAAGGAATAGTCATTACAATGAGGGGTTACCCCTCATTTGAGGGTTTGTTCCCAACCTGATAAACGAACTATTACCCAAATTTCCTGTTCGATATATCAGGTAGAACTCCTGCTTAGAGTTACCTTTTTTATCATTTTGAATATAGACACTATCTGTCTTTATTTGTCTGTGAAATGACCTACATTTTTCTTCATCAAGTCATCCAGCCTTCAATTTTATACATCTATTTACAAAACAACACGTCGTCTTCCAGCCCTCAGCATAAACTTCCGTTTGAAACAGCGCCCTCTTTCGGTGTATTTATGTCCCCTTAGTAAGAAATTTACTAAAACATGCTATTTATTCCGGTCGGAGATTTTGTTATTCGTGAAACTGTTTGTTTGGTTTTTTTTCTTGCTTAAAGTCCCTTGGCAGTATTGTAGAAATAAGTTATGTATTTTTTAGCAGCATTTGGTATTACTTTTGAAATAGAAATAATCATGATCAAATGATTTGTAGTTGCATTCATACAGACATCCCATAGCAAAATTTCAGATAGTATATAAGACCTGGGGCTATTAATAATAACAGTATAATAGTCCCAGATAAGACGTATAAGATCGTAAAAGTATTATTACTTTGCTTCGAAATGTATGGGTATACGATTACAATGAAATATTTTGGTTATTTGGTTACAACTTTACCCGTTTAATATGCTGAACAAGACTATAGAATATCTATTTTTCAAATCAATGGGCGTTGACTGTTGATAGAATACATATCACTGACGATAAATAAATAAATGAATAAAATAATTAATTAATTAATTCCGCTTGTAAGGTAACTCAGAGGAGGATTTAAGGGGGGCTGGGGGCCCAGGCCCCCCTTTTTTGGGAAAAATTTGGTTGATTATATAGGGAATCACTGAAGCATGACTGGAGCGCCCCCCCTTAGGCAGTCAGTGGGCCCCCCTTATGAAAATTTCTAGATCCGCCACTGAGGTTGTGTAGTGTGAGCAACAAACGTCCAGCTTTGTGATATAAATGTAGAACCCGATTTCTACTCATTTCGTGTAAACTGGAATGGTACTGGAGTTTTAACAGGTCACATACAATATACACTTCCATCATTCATGATTTGTATATCATACGCATAATTCCTATTTAGACTACTAATATGTGATATTCAAGACGATTTGTGCACTACGATGCTTGATTTATATAAACGTGGCCAGATTAGAAACTTTCACACAAAAAAGAAGAAACGTTCATAAATTCAACGTTGACAACATCAAAGGACCATATAATTTGTTCTAATGTCCAATATTTCTGAAATAATAATAAAACTTCTGTTAAAAATATCAATAAATTAATGATTACCTGTCTAAAAAGGTTTCAATTTTACTTTCTCCTTCAAGACAAACATACGTTTAAAGACTTTCGTTATAGCAGGTGGCTTTGAAACGGTAGCAACAGCTTGAACAAATTATACTTTCCATTTGTTCAAGCGTTTAAGTATTTGATACTAATGTACAATATTCACTAAGTGGTAGGTAGGTACAAAAAGAAATATCAATGTCCGATACAGCATAGAGTTGTACCAATGTTATGGTATTTTTGGTTTAAATTAAGCCGTAAGGACACGGCCAACTTCCTCGCGAAAAAACCCTGTTTTTTGCAATTCTCTTCAGACATTTTACATTTAACAATATTAAAAGAACAAAATAAAAATATGAGGAATGGTAAAATTGTCAGTATGTTCCCAATCTCCCTCATGAAATACGTGTTATTGTGCTCACGGAAATATATAATTTACTTTTTTTCACTACAACTGGATCTGTACCGCTGCAGGATGAACTTTCCATGTCCAAGTGTAAACACCATATATCAGTCAGTGGATACATTACTGGGTCTGTACCACCGTTGAACTATGAGCATGGGCATAGGAATAGAATGTAAAGGGGGTACAATTTTTATTGAATGTGAAGTTATTCAGAGTCCTCTTTAATAATTATTTTTTTCCAAAAAAAAGTGAATGAGGTGAGTGACAAAAAAAACATAATTTCAGGAACATATCCGCTATCATCTGTGAAACGGATATTCCATATCGGCCAACCAACTCGTGATGGCGTCTGTAAAACTTACGAAGAGATGATTTCAACTTCACCACTTGGAACTCTTGGGTTAATAGCTTCCTTGTAAGCAGCAACCCTCTATCAAGGAAATCAGGATAGGATATACAAGCCCTGGAATATCGTATTAACTAGAAGAATTTTTATAAAAATATCTCATTTTTTTTTTAATTCATTTATTATTTTTACACTTATTATTAAAAAGTATAATATAAAATTATATTATACATTGTAAACAGGTCTCACTTTAACCAAGGATTTGTATAGTAATATACTTGCTATAACTTCCTTAAACAACAATTATAATTGCTATATAAATACCAAGCCCATCTATTGTTTGGCACTTGTTGGATAAACGTGAGTTGGATTTTTCGATTGTTGGAGAAACGTGAATAAACCATGCATACTCAGTTACAATCCGGAAACAATTTCTGCAATAAACAATCTATTTTATGTAGCAGTGACCTTGACATTTGACATATTGACCTCAAAATCATTTGGCTTCTCCCCCTTACCTACACTTTCAGCTGTATATAAATATTCATTCTAAAGAAGCAAGTGACACTCAATCAAAATAACAATTTACCAATTTAATGCGTTCGAAGCGCTTTTTCGGATTTACCTTCATCATGCAGGAACGCTCGAAGTAATCCGTCACGCGTAAATCATTTGATTCGAACACACAGAAGAACGGACGAACGGACAAAGCGATTACTTAAAATTCGAAACCAGAAAATAATGTAGAGGTTTGCAAACAAACATACAAAGACGTTCATCAACAGCGAAAGTATAGGCAATTCAAACTCAATGCGATAGAATGGTATGTTTATCCTGTTTAGCGTGCGACAATATTCATATTGTTAACTGCTCAAAGCCATTCGAATCTCTGAGTATTTGTCACGATTTTTATAAAACAATAATGCCATTATCAAATCATTATAACTACGGAATGGGGTTTTTTGCAGCAGTACACCAACATTGTTTATAACCAAGAAGTAGTAATAACAAAGAACCACATGAAGTAATGAACAGAGCGAGAAAATAAAACGGAAAATTAAGTCAAAAAGTAAAAGCTGCCAAATTTTGTATTTGAAATGGTAAAAAGAAGATTAATAAAAAAATAGTGTATAAATATCTCTGTTCTTACGTCTTTAGCTTTTCTAAATGTCCATCTGTTGCGAACAAGTCTGAAAAAATATTTCACCTTACTTAAAATTAATAAGAGGCGGAAGACATCAAAGGTACAAACATATGAACAAGTTTAAGTTAAAGTTTGTTCTTTTCCCGATTCTGTTAAACGTTTTTATGCAAATTACAATTGTATGGTCTTATCGTCACGGCTTCATATTCGGACACATTAACTGGAACTAGAATGGATACCTTACAAGTGGGGGAGGGGGGTTTGGCAAACAACTTCATTTGAAAGATGGGTGTACTATGTCGGGAATATGATAGCCAATCACCAATTTATTATTGAATCGTTGAAGGATATCAGTTTCCCTGCAATTCACCAATTATATGTATGTTGGCTCTTGGGTTGAAATCAGGACCAGTAGGGCTGATATTAATACAACTGATATCAAATATACGTGTATCATGTAATAATCTGTACTTTCAGAAGCAACCCTGATTGAAATTCTATCTTTTTACCTACTGGATAAACTGGAGGTTGATGCATACTTAGTATAATGTAATATAGAGTAACTTTTAGAATCCTCAATCAAGGTACAATCAGACAAATTTGGGAAGAATAAATATAGTCGGAAAGTTGAATGAACTCCAAAGGAAATGAGACCAGGCGCATACACAGGATAAATAGTTCCTGTTAGACCTGGCGCATAAACAGAATAAATATTTCCTGTTAGACCAGCCGCATACACAGGATAAATGTTTACTGTTAAACCAGGCGGATACACAGGATAAATATTTCCTGTTAGACCAGGCGCATACAAAAGATAAATATTTACTGTTAGACCAGGCGCATACAGAGGATGAATATTTCCTGTTAGACCAGGCGCCGCATACAAAGGATAAATATTTCCTGTTAGACCAGCCGCATACACAGGATAAATATTTACTGTTAGACCAATCGCATACACTAGATAAATATTTCCTGTTAGACCAGGCGCATACACAGGATAAATACTTCCTGTTAGACCAGGCGCATACTACACAGGATAAATATTTACTGTTAGACCCGGCGCATACAGAGAATAAATACTTCCTACTAGACCAGGCGCATACACAGGATAAATATTTACTGTTAGACCAGGCGAATACACAGGATAAATATTTCCTGTTAGACCAGGCGCATACACAGGATAAGTATTTCCTGTTAGACCAGCCGCATACACAGGATAAATATTTCCTGTTAGACCAGGCGCATACACAGGATAAATATTTACGGTTATGCCAGGCGCATACGCAGGATAAATATTTCCCGTTAAACCAGGCGCATGCACATGATAAATATTTCCTGTTAGACCCGGCGCATACACAGGATAAATATTTCCTGTTAGACCAGGCGCATACACAGGATAAATACTTCCTGTTAGACCAGGCGCATACAAATGATAAATATTTCCTGTTAGACCAGGCGCATACACAGGATAAATATTTCCTGTTAGAGCAGGCGCATACACAGGATAAATATTTCCTGTTAGACCAGGCGGATACACAGGATAAATATTTCCTATTAGACCAGGCGCATACACAGGATACATATTTACTGTTAGACCAGGCGGATACACAGGATAAATATTTCCTGTTAGACCAGGCGGATACACAAGATAAATATTTCCTATTAGACCAGGCGCATACACAGGATAAATATTTCCTGTTAGACCAGGCGGATACACAGGATAAATATTTCCTGTTAGACCAGACGCATACACAGGTTAGGTTTGCATCAACCTTAGGCAAAACCAAAGTCTTGTCTAGAAGTTGCTTACCAAGAGCAAACAATATCAGGACTATGTAGCGAATGGAGACTAATATGGCGGCAAATACGTCATTTCTAAAGCTGTCAAAAGTTGTTCTTTTACTAGTTATATATTGCTAGTTTAGGTTTATAAAGCAGTGTTATCTAAAATATCACAGTTCTACTTGCTTAATAAATTGTTATAATTTTAATGTGTTTAAATCAAATAAAACCAACAGGCTATTTAAG